GTATCTGGAAGAATTAACAAAGAAACATACAGAGACGTAACATTATTCTTAATTTCATGTTAACCTTAAACAGACAAATGAAGAAACATATTTTATGTCTTTTCTAAAAATGTGAACATTAATAGTAATAGTCATGAAAATTAAGACACTAGGTCACCAAGTTTCCCTTTTACCTGTTTCTAAATGTAGATGTCCCATGACATGTAGTACTACACTGATTCATATGTTCATTAGTTTAGCTGCCTTGTTTTTAGACATGTTGGGAATTAGTATCAATTGTGCCCTTTTTTTTACAGTTGGGGACACCAATATTACGTTGGTCACTTAAGTCAAATAATTTGTTTAAGTTATTGAGGCATACAGTTGGCTAACCTTCTGTCACCTTACTGCAAGAAATTGTTTGAGGATCTGATTTAACTTTTTTTTGCACAGCAATTTATCGTCTTAAAATTAGTTCAGTGAAAAATTTAATTAATTTTTTACAAATAACAAATAAGCATCTCATTGTATCAAAAGTTTATGTACGTTTTTTTTCTAATATTATTACTTCTGTGAAGATTTTGGAAGTTGTATGTCTGAATTTAGCTTGAAGAACATGTAAAATCTTAATCCCTGCAGAAATGTGAATTTTTCAAAATCTATTTCAAACATTTATTTGCTAAAAATAGAGTAAATTTACTGAAAACAAATAAAAATAGACCACAATTTTAAACACAATTTTTGATATAAAAATACGAAAATTCTTAACTTACTTTTGTCAGGTCTCCCTCCAAGGACTGCTTTCGACCCCTGTTTGCCCTAAGATTAACAGATGTAGTAGGGGAAGTGAAGTTCACTTGACTATTGTCTAGAGTAACCTCAGAAAGGGGTGTTCCACTGCAAGAAGAAGAGATAAGAAAAAGGTGAGAATAAGCTTGACTAGAAGCCATTTTAATTAATTCCAAGCAGGAAAACAGTTGAAATGTAAAATAAACCAAACCAAAAAACCCAAACAAAATAAAATAGAAGCAACAGAGTGAAATAATACTCAAAAAAAAGCTACAACCATCTCTAGCAGCTTGTAAGTTAACAAATGAAGCATTACTTCTGATGCTAAATCCAAACACTGCTTCAGTCAAAACTAAAAGTAAAATTAAACAAACTTACAGAGAAACACACACACACATACACACAGCCACAACAAATAGCTAAAGTAATGACATTTCATGTTTTCAAACTTAACAGCTAATTGAAATTTTTAACGTTTGGCATGCATCACCCATGAAGCACTGCTGCAACCAAGATATTGCTAATTCAAAAATTCGACATAATAACTGTTTTGGCCAGACAAAATCTAGAACAAAAAGGAAAGAATTGCCAGTTTAATAAGAACTTTTACAAATTTTAGGCAACAGCCCTTAAACTTGGCAAAAGCTGTGATACAGCTCAATATTTTCTTTAGAATGTAACTAATGAGTATAATCATTTTGATCCTATTTCTCATATTTTGTGCAATTACACTTTTATAAAAACAATCCCAAGCATACCATTTATGAATTACTATGTGCATTAGAAAATTTTCTTTGATGTGGAATACGAGTTCATTATGTTTACAGATTATTAGTTGTATTATGTTTCAATGAATGGAGTCTTAAGTACATTATCTAATACTAACAAAAATATTTTTGGTTTGTTTAGTTGTGAATTTTTTGCAAAGCTACACAAGGGCTATCTGCACTAGCTGCCCCTAATGTAGCAGTGATAGACTAGGTGGAAGGCAGCTATTCAACACCATCCACTGCCAACTCTTGGGCTAGTCTTTTATAACTGAATAATGGGATTCATCATCACATTATAACACTCCCACAGCTAAAAGGGAGCAAATGTTCAATGACGGTGATTTGAACCCACAACCCTCAGATTGCAAGTCAAGTACTTTAACCACCAGACCATAAATATATTTTTTACTATTATAGTTTGATATATCACATACATTGGTTTCCAGAAGTTAAGCAGCAAATCTAAAGTACAAATTATGGCAAAATAATGCAAGATTTATTAAGCAGCTTTCAATTACGTGGTTTTACAAAACATTCATCGTAACAAAACAAGTTAAATTTAACATATATTTTATGAATGTATAGGGATAATAGCAAGAATGAAGAATTGATAACATTGAGAAAGTGATATTTCATAGGGGAAGGTGTGATCTCCCTTGATAGCTACAAATTACTCACCACATCTTTGAATACTGGCATGGCAAGGTGGTTAGGGTGCTCGACTCATAATCTGCAGGTCGTGGGTTCGAATCCCCGTCCCACCAAACAAGCTCGCCCTTTCAGCTGTGGGGGTGTTATAATGTGACGGTCAATCCCACTATTTGTTGGTAAAAGAGTAACCCAAGAGTTGGCGGTGGGTGGTGATGACTAGTTGCCTTCCCTCTAGTCTTACACTGCTAAATTAGGGATGGCTAGCGCAGATAGCCCTCGTGTAGCGTTGCACGAAATTCCAAAACAAACAAACAAACAATCCCATAAAGCATGTTTAGAATACTCTAGGAAGATGTGTTGCTCTTTCCAAGATAGGAATATGCCATGATACATAAAGAACTGTTTTGATTTTCACTCTCATAGATCATTGGGCCTTATGGGATTGAAGTAAGGAGATTAATAGAGATGATGGTGTGGTCTTGCTGATAATATGTGCTTTATGTAGATGAGTATTATCATTCATGAAAATGAAGTTATATCCTATTGCATCTGCATATGGTCTAACATAGGGATCCCCATCCCTATATCTCCGGCCAGTCATAGTACCACCCTAAAAAATGGAGATTTATAAGTCAACCCACGGAAATTTCTGCCCAGACCATAAAACCTACACCACCCTAAGAATCTCTTTCTATAACGTGCATGGGCTAGTTGCAATGTATCCCTTGACTCACACTGTAAGCAGAGTAATGACTCATCTGTAAAAATCATCAGCACACAACACCAATTAAAATATTTCTATATGTGTGTGTCACGGGAGGGATACACACCACTGGTCTACTAGCATAGAGTCCTCTTTCATAGATCCTTCTGCATATTGTTGAAACCGATACCATCCTCCCTGTGAACGTGCAGAAATTTAAAGACAGTTGGGTTGGTGTGGGTGATCCGTTTCATTGGACCAAAGTGACACATAACAGTCACCTGCTGGGGTTGTGGCTATTGGTGAACATTGTTTTGGTCTTCAAGCAACATCTCCATGCAGTTGGAATTGTGTTTATAGATGGGAAACAACACTTCTGTCTATGTTTAGTCATTCAGTTGAGTCTAAAACTGTCTAACTTCAAGTTTAACAGTAGTTCTCCACCTTAGAGAATTTTCCAAACAATACCAGCTACAAATACCAGACTAGAGGGAAGGCAGCTAGTCATCACCACCCACTGCCAATTCTTGGGTTACTCTTTTACCAACGAATTGACCGTCACATTATAACACCCCCACGGCTGAAAGGGCGAGCATGAAACCGATACCATCCTCCCTGTGAACATGCAGAAATTTAAAGACAGTTGGGTTGGTGTGGGTGATCCGTTTAACAGACCACTAAACTAACTTACATGTTTTGATGAGACCAACTTTACATATTTTATATTGCACATTGTATCATTTACAAATGCACTTGTGGTCCAGATATGATGATTAAATCTTGCACTATTTTGGATTTTTGGAAACCAGTGTACATATAAATAGTATGTTTTGCAGGTCAGTATATGCTACTTGAAAGTCTACAATATGCATTAGAGTACAAATCCAATATATTAAGTGCCTACGATAACTTAAATGGGATAATTCATTTTAATAAACAAGGCAAGTTTTAAATGCTTTATGATATAAAAATATATATTATCAATTTTTACTTTAATAGCCCTATAACTAAGATCAGTCTCTTTTAAACCTCTCTATAATGATCATATATTGAAGAGGAATAAAAAAGTATTACAATAACTTTTTTTGGTCTTTATTTATCTCTGGCATCTGCTTATGCAAAACATGTTGGAAAACCTGGTTCTCTGTAGGTTAAAATTTTTGTCAGAAATATTTCAATTTTAATTAATTGGCAACTTACTGTCCCACAGTCAAAACAATTTTTTTTAAACACAAAAACAAACATTCAATTTGAACATATCTATATTTTGTTCTTAAATATGTCTCAAATTTAATGAATGCATGAATATGTAAACAAATTGTACTCGGGGTTCTTTTGGTATATTAAAATCGTAAACACATCTTTGCTGCAAAAAAATAGAGAATACAGCTCAGCAGTAATTCTGAGGGCTCACACTAATAAAAACCAGGTTTCGATACTAATGGTGGGCACAGCACAACATAGTACATTGTGTAGCTCTGTTCTTATCATCAAACAAATGAATGAAAAAAAACAAAATAAAGTAATTTTGTTTGTTTTACAGCAAAGCCACATTGGGCTCTTTGCTGTGTCGACCTCAGGGAATCAAACCCCCAGGTTTGATTGTCTTAAGTCCATAGACTTACCACTGTCCCACTGAAGGACAAAATAAAAGTAAAACAACATAGCAAAAATACATTACTTACAAAAATGATGACTTGCATTTATTTTTAAGTAATTTATTGATAACACATATAAACAAGCATAAGTATGTTTCAAAATGTATAAATGTTTCTTCTGTTATCCTAAAAATTAACATTAATATATGAGGATTTTCAATTAAAGAGTTATGACTTGATTGAACAGTTAAACACTTTTTCAATGCCTCCTATTCTCCAACACTAGACTCTTACCAATGTTGTGAACCTTAAAGAACAATGAAACTGCAAAAGAGCATCTCAAAATACCTAAAATATAAAGAACACGTTTATTGACCTCTTGCACCTATCCTTGTATTCCTGATGACTAAAATGAACAACTAAGGTATATGAGGTGACCAGAAATCCCACAGCGTGGGATTTAATGCACTTTAAATCATGCAAAAAGCTGTTCAAACTGGATTATTAGCTTTACAGGGATGGGTGGAGTGATTAGGGCATATTATGCTAGATCTTCAATTCAGTCAGAATCTGAGGTGAAGTCACAGATTTCAAGTGTTCTCAAAGAAACAATGGAATATATAGTATTCAAAAATATAATAATATCCAAAAATATTCCAGTGGTAAACCCTCTTCCTCATTTCTGAGGGAAGTATCAATTAAAAAAAAAAATTAGGTAGTGAGCGTGTTGGATATTCAAGACTGTGTAGCTTAATAGTTATTATTTAGTTTAGTTATTGATTTAATATTTAATGACCAATTTAGTTTTCATAACAAGAGTGTTAAAAGTTAATTATTTTAAAAGTAACAGTTGTGACAAATTTTGTTACATAACTTAGTAAGAGTCATACATTATATGTGTAGTTCAGTTATTGTAGTATTGTTGACATCATCTTTCTCGAAACCTCTAAGTTTTTCTCGCTGTGTGATTATTGTTCTATCATAGCATCTTCTAGTTTGTAGAAAGTTCTAGTTCTAGGCCTCAGTTGGCAAAGACATATAAATTTAGCCAACCAAGTAAGCAAAAATCAGAAAACATGAAGAAAATAATGTCAAGAAAAAAGTTAGTTAATGAAAGAAAATTTGAAGTTAGCCAGCATGTGACTGATTAGCCTAAACGGGTGATATTTCAAAGTGAGTTTCACAGTTTAACAGAGATAAGGGGAATAATTAGTCTTCTCAAAGGGTGTTATAAAGTAATAGAACTCACCTGTGTGGACTTTGACGAAAAGGAGACAATTATTTAAAGTTCAGGATACAATGGTGGTAACCCACAGGCTGACATAACTGATTCTAAAATAGATTGTGCACTAATAAGCAGAGTAGAGAAAAATAATTTGTCTTGTCAATTGGATTCTAAATAATTGAATCAGCCTGTGTGGACTTTTGACAAGAAAAGAGAATTATTTAGAGTTTTAGATAAAACTGATTTCATATAGTGTAAAGAATTTTTGTACATTTATTTGACTTGTTTTGAATGTATATTATGTTAAAACAAGTAAATTGTGTGCTGTCGTCTATTGTCCAAATTTATTGCCAACGGGTCACAGACACCTACTGTAGAAGAATCCCAGCCAACTTGTATATAAATCCCTGAAAAAGCCATTATTTTCAACTGCTGTATGCTTGAGTGAAAGATTCGTTTATTTCAGCTAAATATTTGGAAACATTTTATGACCATTTTCTATTTAAACAGTAAGATATTTTATTTTAAAATACTATTTCTATAGTGAAGGTAAGATGTCGAAATATTTTACTGTATATTTATTACATTTACAAATTCCTTAAAATTATATCAAAAAGCTTTTAAATTTTTTTGCAATTTGTTATGTGACTAGAATTCAAAGGCTTAATGATGTAGCCTTAAATTATTATATTTTGATCAAATTCTTGCTGCTTATTTGAGGCTCATCAGTCAAATAATTATAGCATACAGTATTTCTTTGTTATTTAGTTCTAAGTTTTGATTACTCCAACTTCTCCTGAAGTAACTTTAGTTTTATGCCTACACACAGCTCTGACAGTGTATGAGTTATTACAGCTGTACTAAATCTACACTATTTAGAACACAAGACAAATATAAAGGGACAGTAATTATTTTTTAGATGATGATGAAATTAATAGTTACATCATTCTCTGATCAGTAGTTTTTCACAAGTTGTGTTTATTGTGTTAACTTATGTTTTTTCATAAACTATCTTAATGCTTTTTCAAGCTCTTTGTATGTTTTCAAAATAAAACCTAAAACAGTTTCAAAAGTGAATTACTGTTGGTTTACTGACCTGCCTAAATTTCCAGCTTTATAGTTAATAAAGTTCTGTCGAAGTCCATCCATCTCAGCCCTCATTTTACCTAATTCTTGCATAATTTTACCCTGAAAAAAGTATTCAAACAATAATATAAGGTTATTAATAATATTCTGTTAACTTAAACAATCAATTAATGATATATACGTAACATGACGAGAAAAGTAATTGCACAAGCAGTCTGACACTATAACGTGTGATCAAAACTAATGTAAATATAGAACACTGAATAAATATAAAAATTATCTATAAGTATTACACTAATAAGCACAGTTTCTATTAACAGCTGATTGTGGATCAGGAAAGGTTTAGTGGTTAGTGTGCTAAGCTCTGAATTAGAAGGTCTAAAGTTCAATCCAATATATACTGCTGAGCATGTGAGTGTTACAACTCTGACAGTCAATACTCAACTCTTTGGTTAACAGTAGGTGGTAGTTGCTGTTGACTGTTGTCCTCCCTCCAGTCAGCATTTCTAAATTATGATTGACTATGTCTGAACTTTAAATACCTGGCCATTTAGTTCACTTGTTACATAAGATGCTGGCTGTTTAGATTGAAAATACCAGACATCATAGAATATTTATCACAAAAAAATTATCAGCATTTGTTTAAGAAAAATATTTTTTATGTAAATATATGTCTAAATTCACATGCATACGTACAATTACTTGTTATAAAAGGCTAAAAGCCAGTTACAACAGGTGGACATACAATTATAATAATAAATTATCTTACAAATCATGTAAAAACATAAAACACATTATTCTAAGTGTATATTCCAATATAGAAATTTTAGAGTACAAAGTAAAACCTAGCACTGATGTAATGTTTCTTTCCCACTATGGTGCTTGTATTCTTCCAGTAGCAGCAAATACTATTACTGAATAAGTATGCTGCTTTCAATGCGGCAACTTATTTTCAATGTATAACAAAGTAGCAGATCTCTACCTTTTCACCCTTGGTCTCCTCAAGAGTCTTTTGTACGTGTTCAAGCTGCTGCAACAAACTGTTTTTCTCTTCTAATGTGTCAACTTATTTTCAATGTATAACAAAGTAGCAGATCTCTACCTTTTCACCCTTGGTCTCCTCAAGAGTCTTTTGTGCGTGTTCAAGCTGCTGCAACAAACTATTTTTCTCTTCTAATGCATGCATTCGTTCCTTGAGGTGAAGTTGAAGTCGCTCATTAGATTCTGCCAACAGTTTATCAACTGTTGCTGACAGCCGTTGGTTGTGGTCTTCATTCATTTTCTCTCTTTGTTGTGACTAAAATAAAACAAAAGTAGCACAGTAGGGGCTGAGATAGAAACTGAGCTAAATATATAAAAAATGCCTCAGGAATTTTTAAATCCAATATTTGATGAAATACAACATTTACATTTTTTGTAACATTTATTATAATAATCTCACTTGTTTAGAGAAAATATCATGTATTTTATTATTTTCAAAAAATATTGTGAATAAATGCAATGTTTTCTAGCTTGGTTTAAAAGAATAAACTGAGTATCTGTCTATAAATATTGTTTAATTATTATCTCAAACTGTAGTAGAAATCTCAGAAAATTTTCCAGAAATCTAATAATTTCCATCATTTTACAGATATGCTTAGACAATCACTATTTCTAACAGTCCTACAAACCTATCCAAATATATGTGATTATCAATGAAGGATTAAGTAATTTCACATAATAAAATCACATCCATGTTCTTTTACTTATAACAAAAGTGTGTAAATTTTATAATTTATTAAACTATACCATTATACTCTGTATCTTTCCATTATACTTTACAGTAGTTTTATCTCAAGTCCCATATTGTAAGTATTTGCTTCACGGGGCTGCAAATTCAGTTAAAAGTATATGTTACACTTACTTTGGTAAGTTCCACACTCTTTTCATTTAGTTGTTGCTCCAACCTTTGTACTTGATCCTCCATACTCACTTGCCTTTCTTGTGTCTGCTAAAATTGATAAAATTGAACCAAAATTATTAACAAAAAAAAAGCTATTTTAGTATCAATCAACTAATGAAGCTGAAATCATTCACTGGATTATTCCAAAAGATTATCAACTCTTGCCGACAGCCAACAATTGTAGTCTTTGTTTCTTTTTTCTCTCTCTGGCATGGTTTATTCTGAAATCTTGAAAATTCACAACCAACTGTGAGCAATAAAAAACTTCTAAACAGCAAATCTGTTCAAACATTCAAGCACTGGTGACATCCGTAATTTTGACTTTAGTAATTCCTTTTGTCATACGCATTTGAATAAATATTTTGTCTAACATAACAAAGCCAAGTAAATTTAAAATGTATGTTTGTGACAGTATGTTTAGTTATGAATAATTTTTATGAACTTGTGATAGCATAAGTACATTCATTTACATATTTTGCACAATGAACACTATTTCATTGTGTTACGTATGTGACAATATACTTAATTATTTTGATAATTATATTATAGTCACTTTCTTGAATTCAACTTTTGATTCTTGCATTGTTGTATTAAATTAGTGTTATCAGTTATCATCCATCCTATACTTGTATAAATAGTGTGTCAAATTTTGGCAAAATTAATGTTTTTCAATGTGCACATGGATACTCTTTTAGTTCACAATTTTAAACTATTGTTGCTCTCATTTTCCTTGATGGAGAGTACTTTTTTATTAAAGCATGCATTGGGTTCAAGAATGTTACTTTTACTTTGTTTCACCCTCTTTGAATAACAATAAGAATAATCCAGAATAAAAATAAAATCACAATTAAAGTAATTGATAAGCTGTATCCCAAACAATCCTTGTGCAGGATTAAGAAGATTCAATTTTTTGTTCAATTTGGGGGCATGATG